ACATGTTGCTCCATGAAGAAAATCCTGTTTCTTCCTCTCCCCTCTGCTTCCCCCTCGTTTCGCTGCAGGGCTCATCTGAGGCCGTGAGCGTCTTCGTCCCCCCCGGGTGTCTGAGAGCAGAGCCGGGTCTGAGATGGCATTTGGTGGTTCACAGGTGAAGGACATGGTGATGGTGTAGCATGTGACCTTTCCCTGATGTTAAAATGGACATTTGTGCACTAGAGTTGAAGGCGGCACTTTGTTATGAAGTGTGATGAGTATTTGTGATATTTGTGTCTTTCTGAGAATGATCTGTGTTTTTTGCAGCTTCTGTACCTCCTGGTTTCTGTAGCTCCACCCGTCCCTCCGTCACAGAGACGTCTTCTGACGGTAAGTTGATCCATATCTTTGGATTTACTTTGAAAAAAGAATATTTGCAGACTGGTGTAAACTGTACGACTACAGCTGAATGTAGACGAGATGTTTGAGTCCTGAGAGGGATTTAGAAATGTCAGGGTGATGCATGATGACTGATTACTGCCGATCATTTATCCCTGACCGTTGGATGATTCTGTGACATGTAGAGCCGCAAGCCAATTCCTTGACTTCAAGAATTTGTGTCTTTATTGTAAGAACAGCGGGCATGTCTGTTGAAGCATTCATCATGAATGAAGTGATGATCTCCAGCTGACTGAATATTAGTGATGATTCAGCTGAAGTTAGCTCGTGTTGGTTGGTGTGGGAGCTGTGCATGAGATAACCTTTGTAAGTTTGTGTTTTTGTATTGACAGGTGTGAACGCTCCGTCCTGATGTGATTTTGACAGTGTGACTCTGGGGTCGTGGCAGATATTCAGCAGGTATAGAGTGAGAACATGAATGGTGACTTACACATATTTCGATCCCTGCACGGGTTATGTACATTTCTTGTATAAGTCTATTTTTAATTGCACAGTTTAAGTTTGATTCATCTAGGGGTATTCTTTAAATCTTTTTCGGTTAATATGTATGGGAGGGGGGCGTCGTGTTTTGTGATTAATTTGTAACAAATGTTTCATGTCTCGTAACCTGCTACTGGATGCTTTGAATTTCCCTCGGGATCAATAAAGTATCTATGTCTTCAAGTGCAGTAACCAACAACTAACTACCAGAGGGCGCCCTCTCCATATAAAGTGTTTTATTTTAATCATGGTAACTTTAGTTTGAGAAGTATGATTTAAGTTTGTGTTAGAAATAAGTATTTATGAGAAGTACTTGATTTGACATGGAAACCTTAATGGTGAATAATGGATTTAGTTGGGTGTGATGCACAGGTGGTGAGAAGATATCTGTAAAGATCGATTTAGGTCAGCGAGTGAATGAGCAGCAGGTGTAGCCGATCCTGCTGACGAGCCTCCTGCTGAAAACACGTTTTCATTTTCCTTTCATTTCAAATATTCAGATGTGCCGTTTGTTTTTTGTTTCCTTCACTTCCTGCAGGAAACCGGAAGTATTCGTCGAACAGTTCAGGGACCGAATGCCGAACAAAGAAGGCCGTCTCATTCAGCGGTAAGTAAACTCACTATAAACTGCTAAAGTCATCGGTGATGTGCTTTGAGTAGAGGTAGAGAGGGAGGCGTGTGATTGGTTCATCAAATTGTTTTGTGGCAGACATTGGTCAAAGTTTTTAGAGACGTACAACTGATACAGATGAGGGATTTTCTTTGTTGATTTTTGGATGATTTCTTTGGACATAGGTATGTGTGTGGTTTTTCAGAAATGTTGACGTCGTTTGTTTCGATATGTGTGGTCGTTAAATGATGTGTATGTGTGTTGTTATTTCAATGTATGCTGTAATTATTTTTTGAATAAATGGGAATGTCAATGTTTATGGAGTGTTGATGATGCTGTTGCTGAGAAAATGTTGTTGTGAATCTTTCAAACTTCAATCTTGTGCCTGCATGTCAAGCTCTAATCTCAAACTCTAATCTCTGTTTGGTTTATGTGTGATGTCTGTTCCTGGGGTGATGTGTTTAGATGTTGTAAAGTGATGTTCTCTCTCTTCTGTTGACCAGGTGGGAGACGGTCCTTCACTGAGCTGCGACTCTGTGTTAAAGAATCATCTGTTATTATGTGGTCGAAGTAAGAGCTTTGCTCATAAAGACAGACCTATAGGTAGGTTATCTATACAGTGTTGTTACTTAGGCCTAAGTCTGAGGGGGCTCAGTATGTTGTCTGTAAAGTTGTTGGTTTGTAACTGTCAGACTGTTTGGAGGTTAACTCCTCCAGCTCTTTAAATAAATATATTTTGTTTACAAATCTGAGATTGATTCACGGGAACTAAACATGTCATGTGACTCGTTAGTGTTATGAGGTCTCAGGTGTGAATGGGGAGCAGGTGTGTTAAATTTGGTGTTATTGCTCTCTGGATCTGAACTAATTAATAAGTTGGTTAATTTTATTTGCTCAGACGTCTTATCTGATCCAAATGGTAGATATGTACGAGTGACAGGGAAACTAAACTCCTCAAAAATAGTTATTTTTGGTCAATTATTTGGCCCCTTTAATGATAATAATTGGTGTTGTATTTGATATCGTTGGAAAGCCTGATTTACAACAAGGTATAACTTGTAAGGATTGTGCATTCGTGAGTTAAGCGACACATGTGTGGGTAGGGAAACAAAATGTGCCCAAATCCCCTGCAATAGTCTTCTGTTGGTATTCACTTCTGTTTTGAAATTTCTGCCTCATTGTTATTGGAGTCATTAAAAGCATATTTACTGGGGGGGAAATTATCTCTTACTGTGCTCACGATGCTAAAACTAGAGGTAAGAGATTGGCAGGTATATCTAAGCAGATTGCACAGATTGATGGGGTCTACTCTACTGCTCCAACACCAGATTTATATAAGAACGACTTGAAGCGTTGCTGCTTCAAGCAGAATTTTCTACCACCTGTGCAGAGGAACTACTTTCTAAATGGAGATGTACTTATTATGAGCAGAGGGATAAAGCTAAGTAAGCTTCTAGCTTACTTGAGACAGGAGTCAGCTTCACACCAAATTCCACAGATCCAAACTCCACAGGTATAACCACAGAACCCAAACTAATTAATGAGCAGTTAAAACAATTTTATGCCTCCCTTTATACTGCTGAACAATCCAATGACTGTACAGCGTTTAACAGTTTCTTTGCCCCCCCTAAGATTAGACTAGACCTTGCTGCAAGACTGGATGAGCCTATCTCTATAGAAGAGCTTGATGTGTGCTCAGACCATACGCTGTGCATCAAATTGGTCTGCATGGCTGTCGTCGCAGAAGGAAGTCTCTTCTAAAGATGATGCACAAGAAAGCCTGGAAACAGTTTGCTGAAGACAAGCAGACTAATGACATGGATTACTGGAACCATGTCTTGTGGTCTGATGAGACCAAGATAAATTTATTTGGTTTAGATGGTGTCAAGCGTGTGCGGCGGAGGACTACAAGTGTGTCTTGCATGCAGTCGATCATGGTGGTGGGAGTGTCATGGTCTCGGGCCTCATGAGTGTTGCAGGCACCGGGGAGCTACAGAAAACACCTTAAAACACACAAGCCAGCGTCTAACATAACCGTAACACATCAAGTCACAAGTTCAAACATCAGCTTACTGATGTCAAGTTCATAGTAAATGTGTTCGTCTCTCACCCTATTTAAACTAAAGCGTTAATTCTTGTCAACTGAAAATGTCTACAACTACACAATCATTCATGGTTCAGATTTGGACAGCATGGCATGCAGAACCACTGTGATTGTTTTCTTTCTAAATGTACAGGTTACTTCCAGTGCAACTACCATTTCTCAAAACTTATGAATGGAATGTAGTTTTTGTTTCAAGTACAATTTTTCTCTACACACAACGCTCATTTTTCTTCCATGTTTGTTTGTGAGGAAATGTAACACTAGAAATCTGAAAATTAAAGTATATTAATTATTATATTATTAATCAAACAGTAAAAAGTCCATATCATAGTCAGCTTCACAAGGGGAGGTCAGAATATTGTTCAACTGGTCTATGGCTATATGGAAGCAGGAAAACATCCTGAATCTATGTTTTAAAAAATTCAAAATTACATCCTATCACATCACGCTAAAAATGAAGAAATAAAATTCTGAGTGACTTCACATTGTAACCGCACCTTTGTCATGCACTCCTGATGACAGTTTCAGCCTCTTCTCTGCCTTTGAGGTGGAGATGCTCGCGTGGGGGTATGCTGTATAATTTGATTTCTCCTTTCCACCACCTCTGTAATAAAACAAAGAGACATAAAATAAATGACTGTGTGTGTGTGCATACTACACCCACTTCTCTGACATTGTTGAAGGCCCCAGTGTTTCACCCCCATCCAACTGCTACAGACAAAGATAGGTCAAAGGTCACCATCAATCAAGTTTGATGAGGGTTTTATAAGCTCTTTGACAAAAGGTGGTGTCTTATTTCTCTACTGACAATAAAAAATGTGCAAAATTCAGACACACCGTCCCACTTCTTGACAAAATTTCCAGCACACGATCGATTGGTGCCGTCAAACTCAGCTCAGCTCCCGTACAGTTTGTGGTCTACAACCTTGTGAGGAGACGCACACAAAACTCCATCAACAGGATTCTAATCAGAGTCTCTGTAAAGCATCTTACTCTACTTGCTCTGCTCAGTCCTTTTGCTCAGACATGAGCAAATTACAGACTAAAAACATTGAGAGAATATTATTTTCTTTCAATGTTTTTAGTCTGTACTTTTTCGATATCAGCAAACTTAATCACTCCTCCTAATAACATCTATAACAACATGTCCATCTTGAGACCAATGGTGACTTTGTCATGTACATGCAACTAAAGGACTGTTATGTTCTTTTAAAAGTTTACGACCAAGAAGCACTTGACAGCTTGCATTTCACAAACATCTCTCTCAACTTTGATGAAAAAATACTCAATTTAAAGACTTTTTATCATTAATAATCATTAATAGTATTTTACTCGAGTCTGCAGAGCTGGACGGGCGTATGGCCTGCTCTATCAGCGCCGGTCCTGTGCTAGAAGCTGACCTAGGACCTTCTGTGCATCCAGAGGGGACACAACCAGCACCGCCCTCATTGTGGAGCCATGAAAACACAGCAGGGAAGCTCCATCGAGACGCATCTGAATCATACACAAACACAGAGTATGAAGACTGACGAGAAACAGCTGATGACTTAAACAACAAACATAGAGTGACCTATTATTTTCACTTGAATGTCCACTCACTGATGTGAACTTCACAATAAATATGTTCCACTCACCATTTATACCTGCACCCAACACCCAATCACTGCAGGGCAGCATTTCTTCCTGCAGGAGACAATAAAAACACCTTTACATGTCACAATCACATTCAAGTATCTGCAGCAACATCATGAACATCACAACTTACTACAGGTGATGTATACAACTGACACCAAAGATTCAAACTAAACACCAAGAGGTAAAAGTCGTGATGCAATGCACAACTCACCATTCATGTTCTCACACTTTAACAGCTCAATGTCAACCACTGTCCCACTTACATCACGATGTTCACACCTGTCAATACAAAGATTACAGTCATAGCTCATGCACAACTCACCAACAAACCAACACGAGACAGCTGGAGGTCATCACTTCATTCATGATCATGTAGACAGATTCAACAGACATGCACGCTGTTATCACAATGAAGACAAATTCTCTACATGTCACAGAATCATCCCAACGGTCAGGGATAAATGATCGGCAGTAATCAGTCATCATGCATCACCCTGACATTTCTAAATCCCTCTCAGGACTCAAACATCTCATCTACTACTGAAAAGGCTTTGAATCACTTCTCCTTTCACAGGTTGGAGTTTTAGCTGATCAAAAAGGATTTAGTCAAATGATTAAAATAACTGAGTCTAAACAGCGATAAGACCTGGAACATAATAAAACAACATTAAGAAAGCTTTGAGTCTCCTACCTGAGCAGGAAGACGGCCACCGATGGGGGATCCTCCTGGAAGACGTCGACAGAGTTCCTGTTGGAGAAGAAAAACACATTTTAGTTCATCAAGTTAATAAAACTCAAAATGTTTGATCATACAACATTGTGATGATTGGAATAAACCTGGGTTTCATCATTCACTGTAAATTATCTGTGTTTAACTTCACTTTAAGGGTTTTGGATGAGACCGAAGCAAACTTAAATTCAAAGTTTAAATGTAGAATATAATATAGAAACATTAAGTATAAGGTCTTAAGAAACACCTTAACAGATTTCTCTTATATTATAAGTTCTACAAGTTTGTTTACCTTTAACCTGATCGAGCTTTGGGGGGAAAGAAAATGCTCTATACACACATAAAATATATATATTCAGAGTTGTAATTGATCCACAGATCAATATTATCAATGAACTTAACATAATCGAGCACATAAGGTAGGTGAAGAAGAGTTATGAAAGTTAATCAAGGCAAGGAAGAAGAATTTTTAAACAACCTTTTTAACTTGTAAATGTTTCCTTTAATTTAATTAATGTGTTTAATCTGAACTGAACTAGTCATATCAAATGATAAGCCGTGTTTATCAAATTCATCATTTCAATTAAATCAATAAAAAGGTTTGTGGTATTTTCATTAAGAAAACCAAAAGAAAATAAACTCATTAAAATGTATGTTGTAAAAGTAAACCTAATAAGAAAAGGTCTAAAGTAAAAATGTAGCTTTAATATAAATAATTTAGCATACAATGATCTTAAATATCCAATTACTTTATTGACTTGCACAATTAACGTTCACTAAAGTTAAAGGTTGAAAATAAATGCATTATATCGTTTATAAATCACTTTATATAGAGAGGGCGCCCTCTGGTGGTTAGTTGTTGGTTACTGCACTTAAATTAATCAGACTGCTGTTTCTGAGTAAATTAAATACAGAAAGTTGGATTAACAGATTTTACTTTTAAATTAATGAAGTCTGTTCATATTAAATTATCCAGATGAACATTTAATCTCTGAGCTCTGTGAACAGTAATGTTTAGAAAATCATTTTACCTCAAGAGCTACAGCACAGAGCGAGGAAACACCTGCACACACCTGTACAAAGAAACAAGAAGAAAACCCTGAATGTTGAGTTCAAACAACAACTTTCTCTTCACTTTAAACTAAAACGACAGCTCTGATTTTAATGATCCGTAAGCACCATGTGATGTGAATAATGACACTAAGCAGCGTCCTCACTTTATTTCTCAGACTAACCACACATGGGATTGAACATCCATGCTGAAAAACAAATAAAATAATATTAGTACAATAAACAAGTCAAATGACTTTCTAAAGAAAATAAAGATAAATAAAGTACTTAGGATAAATTAAAAAGGGTGAGGGGTAACTAAAATAGGAGTAAAAGCCACCTTACCATTGCTGAACTGACGCGCCATGTGAGTGTTAAATAAGGAGTAGGCAGGTGAATTCAATCTAATTAATTAATTAGTGACAGAGTGCAAACAACAACCAATCAAAGGAGAGAGTGAGAAACCAGGAAGTGTAGTAAAGGAGGTGCAATAAGAAAAGAGGAAGTGAAAAGAAACAAATAGTGAACAAATAGTGATCTTTACTACAAATAGCTTTCCTTTCAAACTCATTTAAGCATTTTTAAACTAAGACCAGTTGCAGTTTCCCTACATTTTATAAAACAGTAAGCAACGCGTTAGCTTTACATTTGCTGCTACTTCTGCCCAAAATAACGCCGACTGACAACATAAGCAGTGCGCATGCGCGATGTTCTACCCTCGGCGTTTTAGCGGTGGAGCAGAGAGGCACAGTGAAATACAGCGCCCCTGCTGGACAAAACATATAAATAACTTAACCTGCAGTCATAGAAATGACCGTCTAGACCTGCTCACTATGTTAGATTAATAATATACAACTGTAGTGATAAAGATAAACATGTAATATTGAGGAAGACAAAAACAAATAGGCCTACGCAAGCTAAAATTAATTAAAGAAAGATCAAAATAACTATAACTATAATCAAGATTTAATGTAAGTTAAAAAAATTTAAATAAAATGTTGGGTACAAATGTCAAGCACATCCTGACTTTTATTATGTACTCAATCTGTAATGTGTGGAAGTTCAAGTACATCAAAAAGTACCATACAATTATTCTCAAGTACACATTGAAATCCTCAGACAAATCTTTTACTCTGGTTTTACCATATTGACACAAATTACAAAAATAATTTTTTTTTAAAGATTTATTTTTGGGCTTTTTGTGCCTTTAATGGAGAGACAGGACAGTGGATAGAGTTGGAAATCAGGAAGAGAGAGAGAGTGGGGAATGACATGCAGGAGGGAGGACCCTCCTCCTCACTCACAGGGTAGGACCCTCCTCACTCACAGGGTAGGACCCTCCTCACTCACTCACAGGGCAGGACCCTCCTCACTCACTCACAGGGCAGGACCCTCCTCACTCACAGGGCAGGACCCTCCTCACTCACTCACAGGGTAGGACCCTCCTCACTCACAGGGCAGGACCCTCCTCCTCACTCTCAGAGTAGGACTCTCCTCACTCACAGGGCAGGACCCTCCTCCTCACTCACAGGGCAGGACCCTCCTCCTCACTCTCAGAGTAGGACTCTCCTCACTCACTCTCAGATGATCACGATTAGATCCCTGCACCCGAGGCCGCGTGGCCCCTCGGTGTGGCAGCGGGTTGTCCCTCTCTCACCCACTTGGTAGGACCCTCCTCCTCACTCACTCACTTACAGGGTAGGACCCTCCTCACTCACCCTCCTCCTCCTCACTCACTCACTCACAGGGTAGGACCCTCCTCCTCCTCACTCACAGGGTAGGACCCTCTTCACTCACTTACAGGGTAGGACCCTCCTCACTCTCGGTAGGACCCTCCTCACTCACTCACAGGGTAGGACCCTCTTCACTCACTCACTCACTCACAGGGTAGGACCCTCCTCCTCACGCACTCACTCTCGGTAGGACCCTCCTCACTCTCGGTAGGACCCTCCTCACTCACAGGGTAGGACCCTCTTCACTCTCGGTAGGACCCTCCTCACTCACAGGGTAGGACCCTCCTCACTCACAGGGTAGGACCCTCCTCACTCTCGGTAGGACCCTCCTCACTCACTCACAGGGTAGGACCCTCCTCACTCACTCACAGGGTAGGACCCTCCTCACTCACAGGGTAGGACCCTCCTCACTCTCGGTAGGACCCTCCTCACTCACTCACAGGGTAGGACCCTCCTCACTCACTCACAGGGTAGGACCCTCCTCACTCACAGGGTAGGACCCTCTTCACTCACTTACAGGGTAGGACCCTCTTCACTCACTTACAGGGTAGGACCCTCCTCCTCCTCCTCACTCACAGGGTAGGACCCTCTTCACTCACTTACAGGGTAGGACCCTCCTCACTCTCGGTAGGACCCTCCTCACTCACTCACAGGGTAGGACCCTCTTCACTCACTCACTCACTCACAGGGTAGGACCCTCCTCACTCTCGGTAGGACCCTCCTCACTCACTCACAGGGTAGGACCCTCCTCCTCACTCACTTACAGGGTAGGACCCTCCTCACTCTCGGTAGGACCCTCCTCACTCACTTACAGGGTAGGACCCTCCTCACTCTCGTAGGACCCTCCTCACTCACTCACAGGGTAGGACCCTCCTCACTTACAGGGTAGGACCCTCCTCACTCTCGGTAGGACCCTCCTCACTCACTTACAGGGTAGGACCCTCCTCACTCTCGGTAGGACCCTCCTCACTCACTCACAGGGTAGGACCCTCCTCCTCACTCACTTACAGGGTAGGACCCTCCTCACTCTCGGTAGGACCCTCTTCACTCACTTACAGGGTAGGACCCTCTTAACCCCACGCTAAAACAATACTGGAGTCAAAATAAAAGGGAATCCACAGCCCCCTGCAAACGCTCTGGAACAGTGACTGACCCTGTTAGTCAAGCTAGTGACTAGCTCCTCCCTGACCCTGAGGAGGCAGATTTGAGCAGCAGAAACATTCAGTCTGGCGGAGTTAATCTTTCTAAACATGAACTTGAAAATTATTAATTAATTTTATGAAATCAAAATTCAGAAAACTTTATTTAATGGACACATGAATATGCCAGTGTTGTCATGCAGCCTCTACAAATAACACTTGAAGGTTCTAGTGAATGTGTCGTACAGTGTCACCAAGGTAAAAAGACTTCTCCATTGTGCACATTTGATCAGATTAAGACACAAAATGCAGTGAGTGTTGTATGTGTTTATACACATACAGAAAGCATTCAACAAAACAGAGTATTAACACCTAGATAGTTGTAATACAATTGTCAAACAATAAAGGTCATTAAAAGAACAGTTGTAGCAGCTGTGTTCACTTTGCCACCTGATCTGGCTCTCTGTAAAAACAACAGTGAAGAGGAGCGGTATAAAACGAAAACTTTACAAATAAAAATAGTTTAATTTCAAATCAGAACTTTATCAGTCAACTTTTACGCAAACGTACAAAAACAGATCTTTAACGAGATTGTAGAAACTTCTGCTGCTGTCATTAGTTAGATTTGGTTATTACTCCTGTGCAATAATGCTACCTTATCATACAAACACAAAGACAACTTTGGATAGGAACGAGCTCCGTCATTGCTTAATTATCACATCAGTACAATCTGCTGCAAACCTGATAGAAGGCACTTACAGTTTTTTTAAGGATTATGCGGCCGTTTAAAGCATTTTTCAAGGCATCGGTACACAGAGCAGCAATTTGTTAACGTAAAAGGTACACGAAGCAGAGAAAATAAATAGTGATTTATGACAACAGTTTTTACAGAAGTGATTTCCATACTCCAAGGAAACATCAGCTTAGTGTGCATGGTTTTGGCTAAGCCATGTAAGGCCACATTTAGGCCGGTGCCTCTGCAGCTCCTCAGCCTCCTCGCCAGCTGACGTGGATGAGGCCTTTGTTTTTCCAGACCCGGTGTGTGTGTGTGTGGGGGGGGGTGGGGCAGCACAGTTTGAGCCCAGGCACTTTTTCTGAGGACTTCTGGCAAAGCAGCCAGTCAGCACTTCTCTGAGCTCACAGAGCTGTCTCAAAGATTACTAAACTACCATCAGCCGTTTCTGCATGTCCATTTGAAATGATGGGACGGCTTCTGCTGTTGTAAGCCTGAAAAGAAGTAATTCACAGTCATCTTATCCCATAGAAAATCTGGATAAAGAAAGTGTTTTGGGAGATTTAACTCACCTGTTTAGCTAATTCAAGTAGAGCTGCTGCCTCCTGCTTGCCAGTCTGCTGCACCATTTTATAAAAGATTCCTTCTGGTTCTTGAAGCAGGGTGTAAGGCTCGTCATAGGCATGAATTCTCCCTGCATCCAGAACCTTGACACAAAGTTTGGTTTAGTCTCGAGTAGTGCTTTCACACTGGGAGAAATCCTGTGACTTCTAACTGAGTTATACCAAAGAATAAAGGACTCAATTCACTGTAAATGTGCAGTCTGTGCATCTAATTTTAGTCTTTTAATTGAACACTAAGTTCTTGTGTTTCTAATACATGGGCCAGACATGGCCATCGAACAGGCCGGGGGGGGGGGGGGGGGGGTCTGGCACAGTGTAGTTCCTACATGTGTGTTGTTTTAGGCCGCTCTGTGATTGGCTCAGTGAACTTCTTCATCTACAATCAAATCAAGTAAGAGCTGCTGCTGTTCTGATACTCACACTGTGCTAAGTGGAATGTGCTCACAGCATTTTACAAATTCCCCTCCATGACTATGGATCACTCACACACTGCTCACTGTCAGTAGTTTGCACTGGGGCTAATTCTGTAGTGAGTGCTGTTTGTAATCCAGTGTATTGGGTCGGAATGTTTTTGAAATGCTGTGAGTGCCAAAAATTAAATTAAATTCATTGGGGTGGAGTCGGTTAATTCTCAGGCTTAATCTGGTCAAACAGTACAAAAAAGGAGTTTGTGTTGAGTTCTTTGAAGGTTTGCACTCAGCAATAGAGAGGAACATTAGTTGCTAATCTTGTTTCTTGCCGTCTTCTAGTGGATTCAAGTGTTCACTTTGTGGAGGTCATGCAGCATCAATACGGGAGAAAAGTGTGTGTGTGTGTGTGTGTGTGTGTGTGTGTGTGTGTGTGTGTGTGTGTGTGTGTGTGTGTGTGTGTGTGTGTGTGTGTGTGTGTGTGTGTGTGTGTGTCAGTTTGATTAACTAGTTCTTGAAGTCAGCATCACTGTTGCTGGGAGTATGTGTTTTTCCCAACAAATAATTAATAATAAAATAATGATCACATACTAGACGTCAGATTGAACTGATCATGCATTTCTGCAGAGGGAACTTTAGACCAAAAATCAGTGTAGTGATACAACAGAAAACTCAAAGTACTTGGTCTTTTTCGATTCTCTGCAAAGCAACATCAGTTAAGTGCTAATTGTCAAGCTAGTTGTGTCAAAATAGCCATTCCATATTAAACGATCAATTATGAAGGGTTGCACGTATCAATTAAGCTGAAGCATTAACTCTTCCTGTAGATGGTGCTGTTTGTCAGCCGCAGATTAATATGCCAACCTAATGCACTCTAATACAGCAGCAGTGCTGTACACGATCCTTTAAGAGGCTAGAGTTTATTTTATAAAATGTAAAAACAAACACCAGTCAGAACCACACAATAACCAGAAAGTTTAATCAACACCTTAATAACAGTATGTCACATACATAAACCTGGTTGACAAAATAATCTATAGAAGAGTTGCGAGAGATGAAACTATCCTTCCATAGTTCTCTGCATTCATATAGCTTTGCTGTAGGTACTTACCAGTATCCTGTCGCTGTCTATGATGGTGTTGAGGCGATGAGCGATTGTCAGCACAGTACATTCTCTGAATTTGTCCCGTATGGTTTTCTGGATCAGTTCATCCGTCCTGAAGAGAGACCGCATCAGTATTGAAGAAATGTATTCTCCTAAAGATATTTTTTTTACTTATGTCTAAAAGAAACGAATACATTCTTTAATGAAAAAAATTAAAAAAAACACAACGCTTTATAGAAACAATAGTACCAATCCCAACCACTGTCAGTGAGGTGAGTAGCTTCAGCAGTACCTGGGGTCCACATTGGCCGTGGCCTCGTCGATGATGAGGATGCGGTTCTTCCTCAGGACGGCTCTGGCCAGACACACCAGTTGTCTCTGGCCCACACTAAAGTTGGAGCCAGATTCTGCCAGAACCGTCTCCAGCTTACCGGGGAGCTCCTCCACCACAGACTTCAGCTGCACCTGCAGGGGGCGTTAACATACAGCAGTGTTTCCCACAGGATATACGCCAGTGAAGGTGCCTTCATGTTTTTTTAATCTTTTTAATCTCTATTTTAATTTCTACAGATACATGTGCATGTATGTGTGTGTAATGTGTCACTGACCTCTTTCAGAGCGTTCCACAGTTCTTCATCTGAGTGGTAGTTAAAGGGGTCCAAGTTCTTCCTCATGGAACCCGTGAACAGCACAGGGTCCTGCAACACGAGGAGGAGGGCACACTTAAGTCACTGAACCCAACAATAAAATCCATCAGAGATAACAGAAGTGTCTGAAGGTAACTATTACATCAAATAGAAATAGAAGGGAACACGAGTATATTTTCCACCAGGACACACTTGTAGCTGTTTTTGCCTCCAGCTACATCCACTTTTCATAGAAAGTCTAAAACAATGACTACTTTGTAGCACTGCTGAGTAACTCTAGCTGATTACATCATATCAGTCATCCAGTTCATCTTTCAAATTGATCTTTCATATACTGACCAGCAGCATTAACACCAGATAGCTAGCTGTGTCAGATAAAATAAATGCTGTTTTTGTCATGTTTCAGATGCATATTTAAAGAACATTAAAGTGAACATCAAGATGTAGCTGGACTCTGCAGCAGGTAACAGAAGTCTGTTGGCGGCCACACTAACCTTATTATGAGTTCCTTATGCCCTGCTCATGTCTAATTTGAACTAATGAACAATCTTTCTTGGTCTTTGTAGCCTGACAGAAAATCCTATTACATAAAGTTGGGAAAAAATATTTTCAGGGGAAATCCCACAAGACTTTGGCTTTGAGGGGCTGCGGAACAGAACAAAGACCATTTTGTTTCAAAAAGACCGAAAAAGTGCGTTCTTTGAATATTTCTGTGCATGGAAAGTCCAAAACCCTTGTTCATCATGCAACCCTCCCTCCTTTGCTTTTTCTTCATAAATCAAGCTACTGGCCTCCTGTCAGTTTCAATCCACAAACAGAGAGGTTGCTTTATGTTTACCTGAGGGATTATGGACATCTTCTGGCGCAGGTCGTGGAGGCCGATCTCAGAGGTTAAAAGACCATCGATGTAGATCTTCCCCTGAGGCTCTGCCAGGCGGAACAGAGCAGACACCAGGGAGCTTTTCCCTGCGCCCGTCCTACCTACTATCCCCACCTGACACAGGAGAGAAGAACGAGTCAGCTAAAGTTGCACATCGTGTGGCGTAAACAGGGTTTGGTACTCTGTAAACAAAGATGGCCGACCTTCTCTTGGGGTCGGAACATTGCTTTCAGGTTCTTGAGCACCAGCGGTCCGTCCTCGCTGTATGAGAAGCTGACTTGGTCGAAGGTCACCAGGCCTTTGCCGGGCCAGTCGGGAGGAGGACGCTTCTGGGTTTCCCATGGTGCTTCACTCTCTAATTCAGTGTACTCCACGACTCTCTCCACTGATGTCATCTGAACACAGAAGCAGTACACACGTTACTTACACACCATTACAGGAGCTCACTGGTCATTTTAGTGCCCCCTCATACACAGTTTTGTCACTCTGATGCAGTTTATGTGACGAATGGATATAACCTCTTCAATTAGTTTAATATTACCAAGAACAAAAGCATTATCTCACCATGTTCTCCACCTCAGCACTCTGCCTGACGCCCCACTGGAACATTCCCATCAGGGTGACGGAGTAAGTCAGGGCCAAACCCACGGAGCCGGCGTCCAGCTCTAAGAGACACAGAGAGCTTTACAACTAAAAGACTAATTTGATCTTTTTATGTGTAGGGTTTTTAACTCTGCTAACTGAAATTGTTTGAACATTTAAAACATTCTCACGGTCTCTTAGCAGTATGCAGCCAAAGGTGGTGATGGTGACGAAAATGGAGCACATGCCATCGAGGCGGAGGGCGAACCATCGGGAGGTGGTCAGGAAGAGGAACCAGGCCCCTGTTCAGGAAGGAAAACAGTTAGTGACACTATCTCAGAGACACTGCACAAAGACAAACAGTGAATCTGAAGGATCCGAGAGGAACCTGAATGAAGGTCCTGTTGGGCGTCGAATGTTTTCTGGAACCTCTCCTCTGCTCCAAAGGCCCGGATCGTCCACAGACCCTGAAGAGACGATGACAGGTGGGAGAAGACAGGACTGCGAGCTGCAGGATGAGGAAAAGGAGTGGAGAAAATTAGCACACACACACTTCATTTTGAAAGTTTGTTCAGCTAATGTCGGAGGTGCACAACCTGTATAATGTACATGACACACTGTTACATCGTGGACACTCACTGGTGGACTCAAGGCGTTT